GAGTCTCGCTCCGTCGCCCAGGCTGGAGTTCAGTGATGTGATCTTGGCTCACTGCAACCTCCACTTCCCAGGCTCCAGGGATTCTCCTGCGTCAGTCTCCCGAGTAGCCGGGATTATAGGTGTGCCCCACCATGCCCAGCTAATTTTTTTTTCTTTTCTTTTTTTTTCTTTTTGAGACGGAGTCTCGCTCTGTGGCCCAGGCTGGAGCGCCGTGGCGCAATCTCAGCTCACTGCAAGCTCCACCTCCCAGGTTCACGCCATTCTCCTGCCTCAGTCTCCCGAGTAGCTGGGACTACAGGTGCCTGCCACCAAGCCCGGCTTCTTTTTTTTTTTTTTTTTTTTTTGAGATAGAGTCTCACTCTGTCGCCCAGGCTGGAGTGCAGTGGCCAGGATGGTCTCGATCTCCTGACCTCGTGATCCGCCTGCCTCGGCCTCCCGAAGTGCTGAGATTACAGGCGTAAGCCACCGCGCCCGGTGCTAATTTTCATATTTTTAGTAGACACAGGATTTCACCATGTTGGCCAGGGTGGTCTCAAACTCCTGATATCAGGTGATCCGCCCACCTTGGCCTCCCAAAGTGCTGGGATTACAAGCATGAGCTAGGACGCCCGGCCTCCATCTATTTTTCAACTCCATTACTAGCTCATCTTGGCTTTGACTATGGTGCAGGGAGATGGAGCTGATAGATATATGCGACGTGGGCGTGGACATCGGCCACACAAGCCTGAAGTGGCTCCCCTGGCCTTACTACAATCACACCATCACCCCACCAGCAACTTTCCTCAAATCTAATCAGGCTCTTGGACAGATGGCTTTGTAGGTGAACACCCAACTCCTATACTTGCCTTGTTTGTGAACCTATCATCTTTATTAAGAGTACATTTCCAGATGCCTTCTTGGGGTCACATTTGTGTCTTTTTATTTATTTATTTATTTATTTATTTATTTATTTGAGACAGGGTCTTGCTCTGTTGCCCAGGCTAGAGTGTAGTGGCACTATCTCGGATCATTGCAACCTCCGCCTCTCGGGTTCAAGCGATTCTCCTGCCTCAGCCTTCCAAGCAGCTGGGATTACAGGCGCCTGCCACTGTACCCAGCTAATTTTTGTATTTTTAGTAGAGATGGGGTTTCAACATCTTCGCCAGGCTGTTCTCAAACTCTTGATCTCATGATCCACCAGACTTGGCCTCCCAAAGTGCTGGAATTACAGGTATGCACCACCTGTGCCTGACCACTTGTGTCTTTTATCAACCAGAGTGGAGAAACAATCCTAAACCCCTGGGATGGATGGCCTATGCTAAAATATTTCATTTTTAATTTCTCTTTTTCTTTTTTTGTTTTTGGAGACAGGATCTCACTCTGATGCCCAGGCTGGAGTGCAGTGGCATGATCTCAGCTCACTTCAGCCTCAACCTTTTGGGTTCAAGCGATCCTCCCACCTCTGTCTCCTAAGTAGCTGGCACTACAGGTGTGTGCCACCATGCCCAGCTAATTTTTGTATTTTTGGTACAGATGGAGTTTTGCCTTGTTGCCCAGGCTGCACTTGAACTCCTGGCCTCAAGTTGTCCTGCATGGGCCTCCCCAAGTGTTGGGATTACAGGCATAAGCCACCGAGCTCGGCTAAAGATACTTCATTTTATCTTCCTTGACAATCCTCACATGCAAGCCCGCTGCATTTTGCTGTTTTAGCAGCAATTTCTAAATCTTCCCTAAACCACTCATCTGTATATTAAGTAGCCTTGCACATCCGCATTCCAGAATATACTCCTAGAAGCATCCAACTGGTTCCATTTTATACTTTTCCAGGACTTAAATAGAAGAAAGATTTGTATATGGAGGTTTGCTATTGTAATCTCATTAATGTATAAAATGTCAAAACGCTCTTAATTCCTCTGTTCACACTATTTTGTCTTCTACTTTTGAAGTAACCCAGTAAGATTCAGATAAAGTGCATAGTGCCTGGGATATAGTGTTTTGGATTTTTTGTTGTTGTTGTTTGTTTTTTGTTTGTTTTGTTTTTTTGTTTGTTTTTTTGAGACGGGGTCTCACTCTGTCACCCAGACTAGAGTGCAGTGGCATAATCTTGGCTTATTGCAGCCTCAACCTCCCAGGCTCCAGCCATCCTCCCACCTCAGCCTCCTGAGTAGCTGGGACTACAGGTGTATGCCACCAGGCCTAGTTTTTTTGTATTTTTTTGTAAAAATGGGGTTTTGCCATGTTGCTCAGGCTGGTCTCCAACTCTTGGGCTCATGCAGTCCTCCTGCCTCGGCCTCCCAAAGTGTTGGGATTATAGTGGTAAGCCACTGCACCCAGCCTATAGAGTTTGTTTTGAATAAATTTTAGTTCTCTTGTCAACTACTTGACTAATCTGTCCTCTCCAACGTAGGGTTTTAGCCAGCTGCAGTGGCTCATGCCTATAATCCCAGCACTTTGGGAGGCTGAGGTGGGTAGATCACTTGAGCTCAGGAGTTCAAGACCAGCCTGGGCAACATGGTGAAACCCCATCTCTACAAAATATACAAATATTTAGCCGGTCGTGGTGGCATGCACCTGTAGTCCCAGCTACTCGGGAGGTTGAGGTGGGAGGATCACTTGAGCCCAGGAGGCCGAGGTTGCAGTGAGTGAGCTGAGATCACGCCACTGCACTCCAGCCTGGGCAACAAAGCAACACCCCATCTCAAAAAAAAATTATATATATTTTATAAAAAAATAAAAAATATATATACCATATTATACACTATATATAGTATAGTATATATAGTATATATATATTATATATATACACACACACATATATAGGTTTGTTTTTTACAAACTTTTCATCTGTTGTACCTCTGAATTCTCTTCAAATGTTGCTGCACTTTACTCAATCACTCCATAATAATAGGGAACTATTTGTCTTTTTTTTTTTTTATGGAGTCTCACCATGTTTGCCCAGGCTGGAGTCAGTGACATGATCTCGGCTCACTGCGACTTCCACCTCCCAGGTTCAAGTGATTCTCCTGCCTCAGCCTCCTGAGTAGAGTAGCTGGGATTACAGATGCCTGCCACCATGCCTGGTTAATTTTTTTTGTCTTTTTAGTGGAGATGGGTTTTTCACCACGTTGGCCAGGCTGCTCTCAAACTCCTTACCTCAGGTGATATGGCCCACCTCGGTCTCCCAATGTGCTGGGATTACAGGCGTGAGCCACCATGCCTGGCCACTATTTGTCTTTTTAATGAACATTTGGGTTGGAATGCTTATCTTCCCAAATCATAGGAAAATGGCTAATTATCTCAAATCTGTGTAGATATTAATGTCAATTTAAGAAGGCACTTTTTGAACACCCTCCATGAGCAGTGCTAGAAGTAGAGAGGATTTATAAGGAAACACATATGGCACATAGTCTCTGCCTTCTAGAAGTTCACTATGCAATTACTGAAATAAAATATGCACCAGGTGCAGTGGCTCATACCTGTAATCCCAGCACTTTGGGAGCCCGAGGTGGCCAGATCACCTGAGGTCAGGAGTTCAAGGCCAGCCTGGCCAACATGGTGAAACCCTGTCTCTACTAAAAATACAAAAAAATTAGCTGGGCATGGTGGTGAGCACCTTAATCCCAGCTACTCGAGAGGCTGCGGCAGGAGAATCGCTTGAACTCGGGAGGTGAAGGCTGCAGAGATCACACTGCTGCACTACAGCCTGGGTGACAGAGACTCTGTCTCAAAAAAAAAAAAAGAAAAAAGAAAGAAAAGAAAAACATGCATGTGAAACTGTTGAAAACAACACAAGGTAATAGTGTATACTTGGTCTTCCGGTTTCTAGCCTCTCCCTCTTGTGATCCATCCCACAAATTGCTTCATAGTACCAAAACGCTGCATTCTAAATGTTACTCCCCTCTCCCTGCTTAAAAACCTTCAGGGCCGGGCGCGGTGGCTCAAGCCTGTAATCCCAGCACTTTGGGAGGCCGAGATGGGCGGATCACGAGGTCAGGAGATCGAGACCATCCTGGCTAACACGGTGAAACCCCGTCTCTACTAAGAAATACAAAAAATAGCCGGGCGAGGTGGCAGCGCCTGTAGTCCCAGCTACTCGGGAGGCTGAGGCCGGAGAATGGTGTGAACCCGGGAGGCGGAGCTTGCTGTGAGCTGAGATCCGGCCACTGCACTCCAGCCTGGGTGACAGAGCGAGACTCCGTCTCAAAAAAAAAAAAAAAAACAAAAACCTTCAGTAGCTCCCTACAGACTACAGAATGAACTTTGAACTTAGCCTGGCATTCAGGCTTCCACAGTGTAGAGTTAAGCATCTCTAAGTTCACATCTTCTGAGTTTTGAACAAACGAAACCTCTGCTTCACATAAAGTCTCCTTGTCCTCTGAACATGTAGATTCCCGCTTCTGTCTTTGCTCACTTCACTTTCCCTACCTGATGTTCCCTCTCCCTGCCTCTTGTGTTATAATTTTTTTTCAAATCCATTGCCACCCTCTAAGGCCCAGCTCCGGCGCATGGTCTAGAGGCTTTTCCATTAAGCATTCCCCTTGCTACTTCAGTCCACAGGGCTCTCTTAACTTCCTTCCTCCTAACTTCTCTAGTACATACAATCTGCAGCATCTGTTTGGCACTTAACATATACTATCACTCATATTTATATATCTGAGGTTACAATACAGTCTTATAGATCTTATATTGTTTTATAGCCCTGACATCTAGCACAAGGATCTGCACAGAGTAGGTATCTTATAACTGTTTGTTAATGTGATATTAAAGATAAATCAAGTGCATATACCCCTAAGATAGGTTTTCAACACCTCCCCCAGCAACTGGACACACTTTAAATCCATCATATCCAATATCTTTAACCCTTTTTCTTTCTTTTTCTCTCTTCTGCTCAGCAAACTGTGTTTTACATTTAACCTTTTCTTCTTCACAAATCAGTGTGAGCCTCTTCCCTAAATTCAGGTTCCTCTTCCATTCCACCCCTCAGTATTCCCAGGTTCCAGAAGACAAAGTCCGATACTCACAGTGAACTTTATTTGGATTTGTCTGTTTCCGACGGGACATGTTTCCCTGATGCAAGAGCTCTGGTCTTTCCCAGTTTCACGACTGGATATGTTACTACCTCCTTGCAAGATGCTAACCTACAATAAAAAAGGTTATTGTTAGCACATGTCATTTTCCCCAGCACTAATACAAAATTTAAGGATAAAATGTCTTTAAAAAACAGCTCCCGAGCATATAAAACTCACCAGTTATAAATAATTGAACTAATGAAAGAAAGAGAAATGAATAAACCCCTAGCCTAATGTCAAGGTCCCAGAAAGTTTAAGAGGGACTCCCTCAGAGGATTTAGAGAATTATACTCTAAATCCATCTTTGGAATCCAGAATACTGTTAAGTGATCACGATCAAGGTCACAGGATAAAAGAGGAAGCAAAACTCAGGCAACCAGAGTTAGAAGTACTATGGGCTCAAGGGGATAACCCCCATGAATTGCAAAAGGAAGCAAAAGGAAGCCAAAGAGGGTGGCAGCTCTCATGTCACATGCCCACTGGAAGTCAAGCCCTGCAGTCGACAACAGCGGATTTTTCATGATGTTATCTTGCCTAGAGGTAGCAAAGGCATCACATCCCTGCGAAACAGAAAATGTCTCAAAGAGGCATCTGCAAATGAGAACAGCTCGGGACATAAAGCCTCCATCTGGTGATAAAGGTGCAATGCTATGCTGCACTGTGGGTGACACGGCACTAAGCAAATCAAACTTCTAATGTTGAAGATGGGATCTCACCAGAAGAGACAGATGCCATCCACATTGATGAGTACTAATTCAACACCCCAGTGTGGAATATCACCTGGCCCTCCTCATACATTCCAGAGAGGCGGTCAAAGTTAATAACTTTAGAGGCTCTTCTCAATCTAGCCTCTGGATAGTGAAGAGACCAGTGGGAGGAACAAAGAGAAAAGTTCCCCAAATGAAAAATGCTGCCAAGACGTGCATCTGCTCCCCACCCCATATAGGAGGGGATATATACGTAAGCCTGAAGGATCCTGATGAACTACAGAAAGAGTGCCCCAGCCTTAAGCATTGTTAGAGAATCCGAAATGGATTAGTATTGATAGCTGTGACATTTTCTTAGAAAGACAGAGTAAATAAAGACATAGAATAAGAAGGGATTGTCTTTCCTACCAAAGACAGGAATATGGATCTGGTCACACTCTAAGTTTTCTTTCAGTTCCTGCCTTCTTGAGTTATACTCACACTGAATAAGCAAATACAAAATCATAGTTTATTGCCTTAAGAGGAGTTATGGGAGACTACTGCTAGCTATACTTTGTACTCCAGCTAATGAAGACTCACCTCCTGTTATGCCAACTAACTCCTCTATGTAGCTAGAAGAACCTCAAACCTATAATCAGATCCTGCCTCCCCTTACCAAAAGAAGAAAGAAACCGCAAATGGCAAAGACAGGCCTCCACAGGAAGTGGCAAAGGAAGCAGCTTTCAGCCAGTCTTCTAGCATATCTGCATATCAAACACAGTTCTCTTCCAGACCTTTAATTAAAAACAAAACAAAACAAAACTCTAAATGTATACAATAAAAATCGATTTTAACTATTTAGAGGGCAATATACTGAGTGCTGATAGTGTGTGTTCTCTAAGTTTTGTGTATGACATTTTTTTCTAATCAAGTAGTTGTTTTATTCATAGAAGCAGTGAATGAATATCACACTTTGGATTTCCTATATGTGTGTGGAGTCACCAAGTGGAAAGGTAACGAAATGCAGGCTCTATTAATATTTTAAAAAATATGGCCAGGCACCATGGCTCACACCTGTAATCCTAGCACTTTGGGAAGCCAATGCAGGCAGATCACTTGAGGCCAGGAGTTTGAGACCAGCCTGGCCGATATGGTGAAACCTCTACTAAAAATACAAAAATTAGTCGGGCGTGGTGGCGCATACCTGTAAATCCCAGCTACTCAGGAAGCTAAGGCATGAGAATTGCTTGAACCTGGGGAGGGGAGGTCACAGTGAGTTGGGATGGAGGCACTACACTCCAGCTTGGGCGACAAAGTGAGACTCCATCTCAAAAAAAGATACATAACTGCCAGATGCGGTGGCTCTCGCCTGTAATCCCAGCACTCTGGGAGGCCGAGTGGGTGGATCACCTGAGGTTGGGAGTTTGAGAACAGCCTGGCCAACATGATCAAACCCCGTCTCTACTAAAAATACAAAAACTAGCTGGGCATGGTGACACATGTCTGTAATCTCAGCTACTCAGGAGGTTGAGGCAGGAGAATTGCTTGAACCCGGGAGGTGGAGGTTGCAGTGAGCCAAGAACGCGCCGCTGCACTCCAGCCTGGGCGACAGAGCGAGACTCTATCTCAAAAAAAAAAAAAAGATAAATAAATAAAAACTTTTAAAAAATAAAATATACTACTCTAATGTGATAATCTATTGAGGCTAAATATATAGATACTCTATTATAGAAGAGAAAAACGGAATCTTGACTAATTTTTTATTTTCTCCCTTCAAGATCAGAAATTGAAATTGTAAGATAAAGGTAATAAAGTCCCTTCTGAAGGAAGGCCAAATAATTTGAATCAGGCAACATTTCAATGCTAAAGCTGCAAGTCAAAAGACAGAGATGAGTATCTGCATATTTAAATCAGCACTGCCCGCTGCATCTTATAATCCTCCTAGTGGCCAAATGGGGAACTGACCAGATGGTACCCAATGGGACTTCACACCTGAGTGATTACGAGAAAAATAAGCAATTACAGTCCCCTACCACACAACAAAACGAAAATAATAACAAAAACACCCACAAAAACAGGCCTGTAGGGTCATGGGCTGTTGAAAATAAATAAGTAAATAAATAAATGGCTGTGAAAGGACACTCTTGACCACAAAGCAAGATCTCAAGAGGCCAGATGATTGTTTTATAGGCAGTTAAAGCTAATAAAACCCACAGACATACAGCCCTAAAGGTCACTCATTCTATGTTACTTTTAGCGCTGCCTCAATTTCCAAGTTAAAATCTGAAACCAAACCAAAAATGTAAATAGCTGCCTGAACATGTGCTGGGAAGATAGGTAAACGGTGAGATTCAGGTCTAAAGGGATTCCATTTTAAGAGGAAGGCAGTTCTGTCCGTCTTCACAGCAAGGTTAAGAGTCCTTGGGAAGGTGCAACGTCTCCCCTGAACACTGCCTCTGCTCTCCCACAGGTATTAGGTTGCAGCGTCTAGTGCACACCACAGACTTTAGCAACCAAAAAAACGGGTGAAATCCCAGCTTGATGAAAAGAGAGTGCGTTCCCACCTCCAGCTCTGATGCAGTTCCCACGGAGCAAAGCAAACTCGACTGAATCCAAGTGATCTGTATCTGCCAAAAAGGAGAGGACAAGAAAGCTGGTCACTTAGCCGCCTGGCTGTTCACCTGACCCCTGGGGTTGGGTCTGGGGCGTGTGTCTAATCAGCCGAGATGGTCCCTCTGTTTCTTCAAGCACGAGCCCAGGTAAATTCCCAGGAATTACCAGACAAGAGCCGGACAACAGCCGGAGGTCTCCCGAGGCGGCTCAGACAAACCCTTAGACAACACAATCTCTGAAATCTAAATTTAGAAGCTTTTCTGCGAGACCCAGACGCGGGGACTGATAACCCCCGGTCTGCACGCCCACGCCCATCCTCCCCTCCCCCAGCTCCACCCAAGGCTGTCAGACGCCGGGGCCGTCCCCGCCA